TGATCTCAATCATTAGTGTATTCACAACAAGCCACTCAACGGCAGTAAAGTACACTTAAAATACTAAATTTAGTAGTAGTAGAAGAAGTCATAAATTCATTCTTTTTGCAAAAAAAATAAAATAAAAGGAAGCCCCTCAATTTATAGAAAACAAAGGATAGTGTGAAAAAGTTCTTATTTTGCCTTACTGGAAAGGTCACAAATCTTTGAAAATATCACAATCTTTCGAAAAGATCACAACCTTTCATAAAAGTCAGGACTTTTCATAAAAGACGCGACTTTTAATAAAAATTATAACTTTTCATAAAAATCACAACTTTTCATAAAAATAGCAACTCTTCATACAAGTCGCGCCTTTTCATAAAAATTGCAACCTTCATTTTCGATTCACTTCTTTTAAAACCCAACAGACATAGCAACTGTAGAACATATCTTTCTCGGCCTTTTGGCTAAGATCAAGTGTAGTATTTGTTCTTATTAGTTTAATATGTGAGTCATTGACTCACACGATATTAACTCTATTTTTTAGGGCAAGGTCCATCATGGTAGCTTTCACTATGACCTTGTCCTGGTGCACCCCACCAATTATATTACAAAATTTAGATTATCTCAATTGATATATAATAAGTTTCTTTCGTAAAGAATTCTATGAATCTACAAAATATTTTTGTTGTCATGATGTTGAACCTCAATTGAAATAACAAGTATCATGTTAATTTTCTACCCTCCTAAATGAAACAACACATGCATATGGTGCGTACATTGTTGATGACTTGAAACCATTCCATACTATACCTTAGAATGTTTTTGATGATGTTAATTTTTTTCAGTATCAAAAACAAAAAAGATGCATATGGTGAGAACATTGTTGATGTCTTGAAACCATTTCATACTGCATCTTAGAATATTTTTTATGATGATTTTTTTTTCAGTATAAAAAAAAAGGACTCATACGGTGCAAACATTGATAATGACTTGAAACCATTCCATACTACATCATAGAATGTTTTTCGAGATGATTTTTTTTTGGTATAAACAAAAAGAGGCTCAGATGTGCCATTATCGCCTAATTTATCAGCCAAGGTGAAAGACCCAAAGTATTCACACATTTCCACAATTTATCTTCACAAAAAAGATGCATATGGTGAGAACATTGTTGATGTCTTGAAACCATTTCATACTGCATCTTAGAATATTTTTTATGATGATTTTTTTTTCAGTATAAAAAAAAAGGACTCATACGGTGCAAACATTGATAATGACTTGAAACCATTCCATACTACATCATAGAATGTTTTTCGAGATGATTGTTTTTCGGTATAAACAAAAAGAGGCTCAGATGTGCCATTATCGCCTAATTTATCAGCCAAGGTGAAAGACCCAAAGTATTCACACATTTCCACAATTTATCTTCACAGCACTCTAATAATGCACCAGCCAGGAATCGAACACAGGTCTATACCGTGGCAGGGTACTATTCTACCACTAGACCACTGGTGCTTAATATTAAAACTATCCGTTGTTGAATATGGAATCAACATTGGTTGATTCAATTAGTTCTACTAGGAAGAATGATCCATCAAAGACTTCTCTCATCTATGTGATGAGTCTTAGAATTTAACAATCGATGCGCCAACGATCGGTGCACATTTTATAAATGTGGATTAAAGTTGTTGCCTTCAAGCACATTTGCACAAGTGGAGAAAGGTTTGGTTTGTCTTACAATATTACCTGCAGATGAAATTACTATATTTGGAAACATGGCATAGGGAAATTTCCTAATTAGATATGATCTTGTGGAGAATAAAGATTTTTTTGCCTATAGATTGCACTAAGTACTAATGTTGTTACAAGTAATTCAAATTTTATTGACCACTTTTGATATTTTATGTATTCTTTCTATCTCATGCTTACCAATGGAGATCTCATCTTTTTATTATGTGCTCAAGGTAAGGAAAATGAAATCAAGAAGTCGCATTTACATAATCCTAACATATTCTGGATCTAGTTCCCCCTATGTTTTCTTTAATTTTGGTATACTGCCCTTTGTTTCTTTGGTTTCTTTGTTTGTATTATAATCGAGACACATAAAGACTTGGTCATATGTGTGATTTAAATTTAAAAGGTTTAATAATAGAGCTTTAGTGAATAACTAACGCTATACAACATTTATAACAGGAAAGAATGAAGAATAACAAAAAAGAAGAAGGCATAGATGCAAGAATTGTCCAACTGCACTTTTTTATACGAAGAAAGATTTTGAATAGTGATAGACTTGAAGTGGATATCAGCAAGAGTGACCACTCTCTACTTTTGTTTAAGAAGACAACTCATGAATGTTGATAGGCTTGCGAAATGGATAAAGACAAGATCTTAGACAATCATGTATTAATTTTATTTTTCTTGTATTTTAACGATTAAAATTATTTCTTTCTCTTTTTTTTTTTGCTTGTGTATTTTTATGATGTCTCTTAAGTTTAATTTTTATACGAACTTTTCATTGTTGTAAGTTTATAAAAAATTTTTTGTTTAAATTAGTATTTTAAAATGATGGAGTAGATCCTAAAGATATACCACTTTCTCATGAATTTATCTTAATTACGGTTGAAAGTGTAAATCAAATTTAAAATTTATACTTATTTTCTCTTGTTTCAAATTAGTAACTTAAAAATGTTAAAAATCTGCTAATTACTAATCAAAATTTTCAATTTAAAATTGATTGCTTAAGAGAAATAAATCTTAATGATTAATATATATTATTTATTGGTGTTTGTTAGGTAAGTTATAAAAACTATCGAGAAATATACCTGCGTGAAAACTTTTAAAAAAACAACTATTTACATGATACAAGAAATATTTATATTATTTAAAATAATTGAGACGTGATCATTGTCAAAGATATTATAAAGAAAGGGTATAATACCTTTTCATCATAAGATCAAGTTGTATTAATTTCATATGACTCCATAAATTGTTTATTATTTACCTAAAAAATTTAATTCATTAAACATAATTACGATTCATATTTAGTTAGAATAGGGTGGAAAAAATCGAAATGAATAAAGTCAAATTTAATAACACCAAAGAATGATATAAAGTATTGACTAATATTAGTTTGTTTTCTATTGAGGGGATTATAAATTAGTGTTAGACTAATCACAAGAATTTAAAATAAGAAGATGATGTTTGTGTATGTAGTCAAACATACATTGTATGTATAAATAGGTATTTAGAAGTCACGATTAAAATATTATACGTTATTTAATTGCAATCATTACTTATTTACATTAAAAGTATATTAATTATAATAAACAAACCTAATATATTTAGTGTATAATTTGTGTTTTGATATGATCGCGCGAAAAACGGATGGGTTAACTTATCTAAAAATTGAAAGAATAAATATTATTATGGTTCTTAGTGTTGAAGTAATTTTTTTTGTTCCCACTAATATTGGTTTAATTTTTGTTGAGATTTATTAGAGTTATTAATATCTAGGGACTATAACATTTATTAGACCATTCAAATTTTCAAAAGTCTCAAAAACATGAAATAATATGATAAAATATACTCCCTCCATCCGGTATTGTTTGTCATTGTTTCTATTTTTAGAGTCAAACTATACAAAATTTTACTAACATTTTATAATACATTTTTTCATCATATTAATATGAAAAAATTGTAATTTATAGTACTTTTTATATAGTTTTAGAATATCTAATTTTTTTGTTTAAAATATCGAATTAATGTGATCTAATTAACCTTTAAAAATTAATCAAATTGACTTTCGATAAGCGCAACATGATAAACATTTCTGGACCGAGGGAGTAAAAACTATATAAAAAAAAAGTAAAAGAAAATATATTTTAAAATAGGGAAAATTATTTTGGCCGGGATGATATTTTACCTATGTTATCTTACCATTTTGAACGTTTTTATCCTTTTAACTTTACTAATTTTTAGGTAAAAAATGAAAGGAAAATTCATTTTATTTTAAAATAAAAAAGATAATACAAACTTTTGAATTTTCTGGTCATTTAGCAAAACTAATATCAAATTAAATACTTCTAAATATACAAAAAGTGAAAAATTATATATTTAATGTTGGGTTGGTTTGATCACGAGTTTACTTTTTTTCTTCTTTTTTTCCAATATCAAATCAAATTATTTGATTTTTTCTGATTAAATTTACTTGTGGTTTGGTTTGTTTTCTTATTCGATTTTGTACACCGATATGATGAAACTCTACCATTGTTAGGACTAGGCTTCGATCAGTTAATTAGATTTGCAAAATTTGGTTCCATTTTTTAGATTTTGGTTTGACAAAAATATGAAGTCAAACTAAATTGAAATAAATATGGTTCAATTAGATTTTTGCAATTTCGGCTCGGTTTATTTTTTTTTGTTCGAATATCATTTTGGGCCCTTTTTTAGTCATAACTGGACTTTTCTTTTCTTTGAAACTTTAATGCCATCTGCTTCAACTTCATTCAGAGAAGAAGTATTAAGAATGCTTTAATTTGAAGCTCCACCTTGACTTATCTTACTTCAAATTTGTCATTTGCAAAAAAGAAAAAAACAATATTGTGAGAACTGAGAACCCATACCAAAAAAGTAAATTTTCAATTTTCAATTAAACATAAAAGAAAACAATATTTGTCATTCCCAAATCCTCTTGAGTTTTGATTTTTATTATTCCATTACCATTTAACTATACAAAAAACCAAAAAAATAAAAATAAAGAAGAAATTTATTCTTGAGACAAAGTTGTGATTCGTGAAGTCGATAGACAGTCAAGACTCAAGAGTCAACGAGATGGAACAAAGAAGTGAAAAGTTGAGAATCGGGAACGATGGCTCGCGTGTCGCAACTCTCTTCTTCACTCTATAGAACTGAGAGTGGAGAAGTGAAAAGTGAATTTGGTGCGGATTAGGGTTTTGAGATTTGACTTTGGGTGGATATAGTCATATACATATAAAGTAATAGGCTTTATTTGTTATTATTTAGAGAAAATTAGTTAACTAGTCACAATCTCTAACATATTTAATAAAATATCTATACTTTAAAATAATTAATAAAGCTGTCAATATTTTTGAAAATAAATTGTATCCTAATATAAGTAACCTTCTTTCCTTTTATTTCTCAAATCTGATCCACATTGAACAATTTTTTACTCATTTGTACTACAAGTTTTTAAAACATAAATACACCCATTACTCAGTTACCCCTCTTTTTAGGTTTTATCTCAAATCACTCATTTTTCTCTCCTCCTTTTTAAACCATTGTCATCTCTTTTCCTTGTTCAAGAAAATCAACTCTTCGAATTTACTATACTTTTTTCAAGAAATCTTGCAATCAATTCAAAAGATTCTTAACTCGTTGATAAAAGGTAAAATTCAAAGTCAACCGCTATTTTATGAGATTTTTGTGATTTTGTTTTCATATTCACTAAGTATTTATATTTCGGATTTTTTATATTTTAAACAATAATATTCTATTTTTTATAAGCTTGTTTTCATATTCACCAAGTATTTCGTGAGATTTTCCTCGTTTATGTATTTCATCTTTTTACACTATTATTTGATTTTTTTGTAATTTTTTTCCATATTTGAGATTTAGTAGATTGTAGTAATCTGCATTGGCATTCATATATCATATATAGTTTGCTTTTTCATAAGTTCATATTTAATAATTTCAAATTTTGCTTATAGGGTTACTAATGCATAAGTGAATATGTGAGTTTGGTGAAAAAAATCAAAAAAAAAAGAACATAGCAGATGAAGAAAAAGAAGAAGAAAGAGATAGTCAAAGAAGAAAATTGCAAAAATTATATTCATACTAGAATTTTATTCATACTTATTTTTGTTTGTTAATTATTTTTTTAACTAAAAATTTGTATCTTTACTCAAAACATTAAATTTCATTTTTAGTTTGTAGTTATTTCAATAGGCATGCCAAATGAATTTGTATTTTTAAGCATAAATGTATTCTCTTTATGTTCAATGTCAATTTATATACTTTTTTTTTAATGTTGTATCCATATATATTTTTACAATATTATATCCATATATTTTTTTAGAATATTGTATCCGGCCTCAACGTCTTGTATTATTTCTAGTATGTATGCAACTTTTTTTTTCCACAAAATCTTGTATCTCAATTTCCTTGACAATCAATTTGTATTTTTTAATTAAAATATTGTATCATTTTTAACAATTATATTATTTTCACCATGTATGTTTTTTTTGATCTAGAATCTTGTATCCTTTCATAAATTATATTATTGTGATACATTGAGTAATATTTTTGTAATACAAATGAAAGAAAAATATATTTGACAGTCATGTATATTCCACTTCTTGATGATATAAATTTCACCATCCATGATCAAGATCTTGATTTCACCATCCATGATTAAGATAGTGATAAGGGAGAAAAATGGAGAATGAAATTGTTGATCCAATCAAACGAGAAAGCGATTTTGAAATAGTAACTGATGAAAATTTGAAGTGAAGTTTTTTTTTTTATATAAATGCCCTCTTCCTTGGTTTTCTCCTTTTTGTTATTAAATAATTGTATTCTTGCAAAATCAAACAAATAAAAAAAATTACATAAATCGGATATATAAATAACTAAAATATTGACATTTTAAGAAATATTGAAAGTGTGGCTAAGGAGTCCTATTAAATGACAAAATAACATTATGAAAATTTCCCGTATTATTTATTGGGCTTTTCAGTTAAGTAATTGCATAAATGCTATAAATGTGGTAATGTATTATATAAAATTCGATTTTTTCATTAACCAAAAAAATACTTAAAACTGAAAACAAAATCACCAAAATTTCAATACTGAAAATTGAAAACGAACGATCAAACAGTAAAACCAAGACTGAAATTAAGAAAAAATTAGTTTGATCATTCTTTTTGGTTTTTACCAAATTATGGCAACCCTAACCACTGCGGGATGGACCGGAAAACCACAATTGGAATTAAAAACCACCAATATCCTAACTTTTTTAAGTTTAAATTTAGACTAATGGTCCATTTTATTTAATTAAAAACGGGCTCCTAAACGGATCCACACATAATATATCTAAGAAAGAGTTGATCGGTCCAAAAGTGGTTAGACCTAGTGAATACAAAAGAATCCTAAATGATAGGGTTTTCTATTTTGTGTTCTCCGCCTCTTCTTATCCTTGTTCTCTTGCCTTTTGTGGAGATGTTATCTCTTGTTCTCCCTAGCTGTAGCTTCCTTACCCTTTGGTTATGGGTGATTAAGATTCCCACCCTGATGTTGTTGCTGTTGAGATCAATTTTCAAAGGTTCTTTTTCTTAGCCATATGGCTTCTTCATTTTTTTTTTTGTTTCTCAACTAACTCTGTTTTCTTGTATGAAGGTGTACTACAAATTACTAAGTATTGAGAAAAATGATGGAGATGGAATAAAATTTGTGTTGAGAATTTGTATGCAAAATCCAAGTAATTCAAAATTGAGGTATTATTGTCGTTGTTGAATTTATTTTCCTATATTATTACTATACTGCATTTTCTTAGAAAGGAAAAAAACAATAGAATGTTCTAGCTAGGCCAATCTAATTATTTGCATCAATTTTTCAAGATCCAAAATAAAGTAAAATATCCTAACACTGTCAGTTGCGTTACGAGTGAAAGAGAATTCAGACTCTCTTTTCTAGTCTAACCTCAAGTGGAACCTTCTATTCCAGAATGCAGTTGCATTTCTTGGATAACTAAAAAAGTTTAACTACTAATAGTAATAATACTAATACTTAGTTTCATCCTATTTTTTCCAATGTAAGATTATGATGATATATGTTGAAATGGATTCATTCGGTGTCCACTTTTCTGTCGAGTTTCTTTCTACGCCTACTTGATTTATGCCTTTTTAGTCATTGTTCTCTAATTTGGATGCATAGAGTTTCTTCTATAAATTATTATAGTAAGAAGGTAGTTTAATTTGCTTAATTTCATTGTCAATGAAAAGACATTTCATAAGGCTCATTTAACTAAAAATCATAAGAGCATAAGGGGTGCACTTAGACTGCAAAACAAATGTAGTAATTGCTTGTGGACTTTAAAGATGTTGCCAAGTCATTACATTGAATGAAGAACTGAATGTTGTCATTATCAACATATTTCTATTTTCCCTTGAAAACATATCAATTAAATCTTGACTAATGAAACATAAGAATCATGGAGCAAGTATCATCTGTTTGGAGGCTCTCATGAAATTATAAATTGGAAAAACCTCGTGAGGACCTATTTGGTGGAAAGTGATGCAGAGTTGTATGATTCAACTTCTTATTTGTCTTGGTAATCCTTGTGAAAAGGATTCAAATACTACAGTGACTCGCATAAATTTTAATTAGTCACCTTATTGGAATTTTAGATATATTAGAAGCTTAGGCTTGATAATGGCAGGATTTGTGTTGAGTGAGACTCAACGTATTACTGCTCTTGATCTCTATTTTTCCGATTGGAGAGTTAGAAGGTTGGGGTTGACAAAAATACAAAAGAGCAGGTGAAGATTAGGAGGACTGTTGTTTGATAGGTGGTTGAATGTTTGGAATTCAAATGTAAACAGAGTTTTGATAGAGGTTATGAAGCTTGGGCAAACTGGACAATATTGATCAAAATAAAGGAGTGGTTGTCCACTTTTTCCAAGCTTTAAACCTCTGCCCGAATTCAGTTTAAAATCAACTGAATTCAATACATTCTGCTACTGAATCAAACAATATTGTTCTCCTAATATTCAGTTGCTCTTCTGCATTATTAGTTCAAGCCTTCTGATTCTCTAATTGGACAAAGAGATCAAGAACAATAATACATTGAGTCTCACTCAACACAAATCTTCCTTTATCAAGTTTGGGCTTCTAATTATATCGCTAATATATCTAAACTCCCATTAATGTGATTCGTTGAAATTTGTCAAATTCGATTTAGTAGTTGAATCCTTTTCACCTACATCAACAAGAGAAACAAAAGAGGTTGTGTCCAACAACTGTTTATCACCTTCTAGAAAACAGGTCCTCATGTAGGTTTTTCGGTTCATGATTTCTTGAGATCCATCAGACAAATGATACTTGCTCCCATAATCAGAATTTTCATTAGTAAAGATTTTATTAATAGTTTTTAAGGAAAAAATGGAAGTATATTGATATCAAGATATAATTAATATTTTTAAGGAAAAAATAGAAGTATACTGATATCATCGGATTCTTAAATGGCGGAGAAAACAAAAGGAAAGAAACTAAACATCATTATAATTACCATCAGTTGTAGCTATTTATAGAGTTGTAATCAGTGTTTTCAAAAAAAAATTTGGGTGAGTCTGAGGGCGGGGAGTACCAAAAATGCTTCAGACGCAAATTGATAAGTCCTAGAATTTGAGGTGTAAGCTCTAAGCATAAATCCATAAGTTCTGGGCGTAAAAAATTTATGCCTTAGTGTTTTTAATTATTATTATTACTATTTTTGCTTTAAATCATATTTTTTTATTGTAGTGATATTTCCCAAATAGTAATTATAATACTTTTTGTTTTTCATTATTGGTTATTAATATCTATCTCAAATAAAAGTCATAATTATTTTTCTATATTATTATAGTTTATATATGAAAATTTACTTGTAAAACCATTGAAAGTTAAATTTTGCTTTTGCTTTATTTTCTTAGTAATAAAATTATTAAATTGAATATACATGAGACTATGCCCTGTAGATCCATGGAACTTACTCCCCATGTCTCGAGGATTACATCTCGCCCCGTACTATATAAAACATCTCGTCTCACGCCCCCACTTTTCAAAACACTGGTTGTAACTGCCTCATGAGATAGAGAGTTCTAAACTTAAGCATAACATCTCGTAACTCTAAATAGCTAAGAATAATCTAAGAATCTAAAAAATAATCATTTTTGGTCATTTTTAATCGATCATAACTCTTATCTCAGGATGATTTAAAGGTAGTTCATGATATGGTTTAAAATTCCTTGGAAAGATTTTTTTCAACACCCTCGAGTTTTTGCATGTTCGATATCGTATGAGAGAGATATGCATATCGAAAGTTAGGCTGTTGGATTGATGAAGGTCCTAATCCTGATTTAAGCAAGGAAAAACTAGTATTTTCAGCAATTAATTTCTAATTTTGTTTTAGGAATTTAATTGGGGTAAAAACAAGTTTATTTGAGATTAGAAAATTAACTTTACGCTCAAGTCTTGGAGAAGAGAGACGAGAAGAAGAAAAAAGAGATAAGACAAGGATTTGCCAAGACCGTCAAGGATTTGCGTGGTGGGATTAGTCTGTGGTGATCCCCATCAAGGTATGTGAGATCTTTCTTGTTGGTTTAATTCATCCAGACACCAAACTTGTTTCAATTAAGTGTGAGTTCTTGATGAATCTTATCGAATTCCTATTGGTTGAGTTGTTTGAATGCCCATTGATGTTGATTCGTAATATCCAAGTTGTTTTTCAAGTTAGATCTATTGTCTATTAAAGGTATTGATGATCATAAGGGTTTTGAAAAATAACTACGGAGGGTTAGGCATTTTACGGTAAAAAAACAAGAGAAGAAAACTGTAAAAACACATCTGGGTAGCACCAGGCGCTGCATGCCCCATCTGCACCAAAAAGCCTGGGGCAGCGCGCAAGCAGTGCGCTAGAATGGTGTCTCAGACCAAATGATCTAGTGTCGAGCGCCCCGAACGTGCTTAAATCAACATTTTTCGCCCAGTTTTAATA